AAAAGAGCTAAGAGTCAGCAGCAGTGCCGATGGCCACTATGGAGAGAATTCTGGAGATTTGAAGCTATGGTGACAAGGACAGGGAGGCATGCATGCATCTAACAAACATTGAATCCTTGAAAAAAATCTAGAAAACACAATCATTCTCAACCTTTATTTTAACACAACTCACATGACCTTTACCTGCATGAGTCACCCCATAGACACTGCCAGATTTTGACACAACCGTCAAATTTGTGTGCAATCCCTGGCTCTCTAGTCCGCATTCCATCTCTTCCTCTCCAGCTTAGGAGCTCAGGAAGAATGCATGTAAGAGTATTGGCATTATATGGTAAACTTGAATTGCTCTAATTCATTAAAACAGTAAATTCTTTGCAAAACTGAGAATGAAATGAAGTTGCATCTCTTTCATCAGTTCTATTACTTTGGCTCCAGCTTCATCCCCTCTATTGTAAGGATGACCTTCTCTCTTTCCCCAGGTCACTTGTCCTGTGATAAGCCCAAGAAGTCCAGGTTCCCAGGATGATTACCTGGAACCCAGTGGTCACACCTGGTCTCTTGGGCCACTGGTGCCACCTCAGATGCATGCCTTCAGGCTGGGGGCTCCTCAGTTACTGCCAAACCCAGGGCTCTTGGGTGGCCGCCAAAGCCAGAGGGGCCAGAGCCTGGGCAACAGCTTGTACGGTTGCTGCTGTTGCTGCCAGTTTGTAATTCCATGACCTCGTTTGAGCCCCAAAGCCTGTCCTGGTTGCTCACACTTCCTCTAACCCTGAGGCTGGGACTTTTCTTGTTGCTGATCCTGGAGTTTGTGGCACAGCCAGCAGCCCTGGTGCAGGTCCCACTGGCAATTTTCCTTTGAGCCCAAGACAGGATAATCCCTGGCCCCTTGAATGCTATGCTCAGCTAAAGCTACTGCCCAACTGGAGCCACAGGGAGCCACTTCCCCTGGGCAGGCTGGGCCAGGACAGCACATGGGGACAGGTTCCCATGTCTGCCCCTGGCTGACTGAGGACCACAGTTCCATTCTCCTCTGCATTCCTACAGCCCAAGCCCACAGCCAGTTCCTATCACTGAATGAGTTATGTGTCTTTCAAGGAGACAAACTCCTCTGGGTTTCCTTAGTAACAAAGTCTTTGGAATCCATCTCATAGCCAAGGGGTTGTGATTCAGTCTTTGAGAACTGCTGAACTTGGAGATGGGCCCTCAGCACAAAGATCTACTCATCCCCAAACCAAGCCAAGCTCTGAAGGCATCCTCCGTCTTGTTCGTTCTCAGGGGACCGTGTTGCAGTGGTATCATGCTGTGACATCAGCCATGAGTATCGGCCGCAGGTCGTGTTAGTCAGCATTCCACTAGCTTCTGTAACAGTTAAACCCCGATTTCAGTGGTTTAACACATTAGAAGTCTACTTATCACTCATGTAAGACTCCAGTGCCAGATTCCCAGTCAGCAAGTGGCTTTTTGTCATGTGGCTATTTCCATCATGTGGCTCTTTCCATCCTAGGACCTGAAAGTCCTCTGCATCTAACTGGCGGATGTAGAGAAATCACATCCTCTTCTTTTTTTTTATTGTGATAAAATATACATTAAATTTACCATTTTAACCATTTTTCAATGTACAGTTCAGTGGCATTCAGCACATTCACATTGTTGTACAACCATCATCACCATCCATCTCCAGAACTTTTTTGTCTTCCCAAACTGAAACTCTATACCCATTAAACACTAACTCCCCATTCTCTGCTCTCCTCCAGCCCCGGGCAACTATCATTCTACTTTCCGTCTCTATGAATTTGGCTACTCATATAAGTGGACACATACAATATTTGTACCTTTGTGACTGGATTATTTTGTTTAGCATAATGTCTTCAAGTTTCACCCATGTTGTAGCACCTGTTAGAATTTCCTTCCTTTTTAAGGCTGTATAATATTCCATGGTATGTGTAAACCACATTTTGTTTATCCATTCATCCATTAATGGACACTTGGGTTGTTTTTACCTTTTGGCTCTTCACACCCTCTTCTTAGCCATCTTAACCTGCAAGTGACACCTTTCATTTGATCACATTCCTTAGAAGAACCTATTACATGGTCCCACCTACATACAAGGAAGGGTGGGAAATGTAGTCCCTGGCTCGGTAGCCACTTTCCAGAAGTAATTAAGCCTGTGGAAGGTGAGGCACAATTTGTTGGTGGACAACTAGCCGTCCTTTCCATCCCCTCACCTTTGGACTTCCTATAACAACTATTTAGCATGGCTCAGGAAAAATATCTTTTTTTCCAGTTTCAGTTCCTAACAGGACAAAGGTTTTGAAGTCTAAATGCGCTTTCAGTAAATAACTGTAGTAACATTTGTGTAGTCTTTTGCATTTTTCCATGTCCTTTTCATGTGGTGTAGTGGTTCTGATTCTGCCTCTATTGCTTTCTCACCGGCTGATATTTATAGAGCCCGCAGTGCTACAGTAAATCCAATAAACAGGAACTATTAATCTTCACGGCAACGTGAGGTATGATTATCTCCCCATCTGTACAGATGAAGATACTGAGGCTCAGAGAGATTACGTAACATGTTCAAAGTCAGCCAGATCGTAAGTGGCAACTCCATCTCTCTGTACCTCCTGCTTAGGGAGCCATCCTCATGGATTTGAGAAACAACCTTGATTTCCTTCAAAGGACACTTTGAGCCCCCAAACCAAACTCTGCCCCCAGAACACCCTCCTTGCACTAGAACTGATGGACTGTCTCCTGCAGGACCCAAGCTGAGCCCCTCTGGAGAACGTGGTAAGAGAGGGAGGAGAGATCCTGTCACTCAGGAGCCTGTCCTGTGTTCCTGGTCCCGAGGAGCTTCCCAGGGCCCTTGGAGCACAAAAAATATCTTCCAATGCTGCTGCTCTCATCACTTTCCAACAACATCCCTGGAGCGCCTCCCGTGTTCCAGGCCCCAGGGATGTTCATAGGGATACGAAATGATCCCTCTCCTCCGAAGAGTGCATTGTCCAACCACCATGAGACAGACACGGGAACGAATGCTCTCATATCATATGACAAGCAATATAGGCAGACAGAGTGCTGCTGTGGGAATTTGGACGAGGGAGGAATGAATTTTGCTTTGTTGTGGCAAGCTACAGCAAGAAGGTGACATCAGTGGTGGCTGTAGACAGCTGGGAGAGGATTGGGGAGAGCTCTTTTAGATACAAGGGACAGTAAAGTCTCGATGGTGTCAAAGAGCATGGTGCGTTTGAGGATAAAGAGTAGGTACTCTGAGGGTAAAGCACGAGTGGAGACGGTGGAGGAAGAGACTTGGGGAGATCGGGTGGGTAAAGGGCCATGATTCTGCAGATGAGGCAAGGAGATTATTAACTGGGGGCTAATGCCACCAGAGCCATCTCATACAACGCTTCCTCTGGCTGGGATGAACAATGAGAAATGGAGCTGGTCACCCATTTCATTCCGACCGCACTTATTCTCAGAGGGCAGGCTCAACCCAGCCATCCTGGGGTCATCCCAGACACCACGTACCAGGGTCATTCCGAGCAAAGGCCAGCAAAGAGACCCCCTGAGGACATCTGTAGTCCCATAATGACCCTTCTCCCTTAGTCTATAGGTGAAGGACTCGTGATAGACGTTCTCTCCCTAGTTGGCTTACAGGCCCAGACTAAGCTGAATCCTAAGTTGGTTGTCTCGAAGCCAGGGTCTCTATCTGATACCTGCAAAGACAGGATTGAAGCCTGGGGCGTGCCAGGACCACTGTGGCTTCTCTCCTGCCCCATGGACTGAGTGTGGAGAAGGAAGCAGAGGGAGGCAGGAAAAAAGGTGGGGGAGGTGACAGGAGTATAGTGTCAGAACCCAGTTCACCATCCACGGCAGGTACTCACCAGCACCCCAGCACATGAGGCCTGGCTTTCGCACCCCCCTTATGTCAGAATGGGATTCCCAGACACGTTTTTCTAAGTAATTTACAACTAGAGGTGGAAAGCAAAGGGATTCTGGGTTGACAGTGAACCTGTGGTGAGAAATCCAAATCTGAAGGCAGCACCTGCCCCACCTAAGAAGCCGAAGCCCTTCTCGCACGGAGGCTGTGGGCCAGAGATGCTTTACTGAGAACCCACCTGTGCCAACCCTGAGGGTACAGTGATGAAGGGGACATGCTTCCTGCCTCCAAGGACTTCACAGTCTGGTGGCAAAGGCAGACAGGTACACAGGTCCTAGCCTCCCAGGTGCCATGCATTGTGTAAACTGTGATGAATTCTAGTCTCTTCAAATGGAAAATCTAATCAAGGTACTGGGTTATCTGGCTTCCCCTTCCACAAACTGGCCCTCAGTGGGATCCATGTCTAATATTATGAAAGGCACACTATATCATCCTTAACTACTCATAAATGACACTGTCAAACTGATACAAAAATCTATTCAGAAAAACAACTCAGATTGTCTCATCAACACATGTCATTCTGTTGGCAAAGGCTGTAATTAATTATTTTATTTTCCTCTCCAATTTTGTTCTAGTCTTCAAATGACTTTATACAGCAAAGTTCTGGATTCCTTAATTCCCCTGAGCCCTGCCAGGTCTGGGGCTGTGGTAGTGTTCAATGGTACGGCTGCTGAAACATTCAAAATTCAAGGCAGGCCCATGACTGGGCTTCATAAGAAACCACAAGTCTAAGCTGCTGATACCTTAGCAGAGCAAGTTTTTTAAGATCCAGGATCTATTTTGAAGGAGTGGAATAGAGGAATTTAAGAAATGACATTGATAAGGATAAAAGGATCTTTGGATGAAAGTTATAGGGAAGTGGGTTTGGGCTCAAAACAAGGAAGAGTTTACCATAGTTGGAGCCATCCAAGACTGGTGGAGGTAGTGGGCTTTCTGTTGTTCACAGAGGCCAAGCAGAGGTGTGATGACAGTCAGAGGTTCTTATACTGGGTGGGAGGTTGAATGAGATAAACTCTACAGCCCTTTGTGCTGAACTTAAGTCTTCACCCTGCTTTCAGCTGATGGAATAAACCTGGCCTGGCAACATCACCTCTTCTGGGCTCCATTTTATCATTGCTGAGTTGGAAAGAGGGAGCAATTGTCAGATCCCTTGCTGGCCACTGTGGGTGAACCCCAGATCATTAACCCTGGACCTCAAAGGTGAGTGAGCATAGTCTTGGGATCTCTGCATCCTCAACTCCATCTGGTGACTCCGAAGTTCCTTCAGTCCTCAACACTTGAGACCAGAAAGCCTGGTTTGTCTTGTTCTAATTATTATTTAGATGACTGTTTGGCTCATTCCCGAGCAAGGCTTAAGTCAAGTCAGACCTGCTAATTGAATCAAGGTTATATAATCATATTTGCGCATTTAAATGCAAACCAGTTATGTTGGAGCCCAAGCATCTTATATACAAGGAGGGAGTTCTATTACATGTCAGGAATGTATGATAACACACAAAGCCTAACCCCGAAAGTGGAGGGTGGAGTACTCCAGGGCACTTCTGTTTCAATGACGTTGTTGGAATAGTTATTGCTCTGGGCACATTCTGGGAAGATACTGGAAACATCTCAACCAAGTATGACATTGACATTACCCCATCTTGTCAAACCCATTACATTTGGAACGTGCCTTTCTGTAGCATTTGTCTTGGCATATAAATGTGTTATCAAAAATTGTAGGAGGCATTACAAGGAGCCCTCTCTTGGCCTTTCGGGTCCTCAGCATTCCCTCCTCGTCTCCCTTGACAAACATATACCACAGGGCCCAATTAGGCATTTCTGTTTTTCACTTGGGCCTCTTTCCAGTTTCCAGGCTGAGTCTAAAAGCCTCCAAATCTTGAAGTCCTCAAATATTAGCCTCCTCTGCAAAGAGAGAGGAAAACACGGAGAAGTAGGTAAGGAAGTCATTGACGAGTTGAAGGGGGGACTAGTAACATAAAGCAACGCATCAGGAAGAAGGCACCAGACTCAAGACTGAAGTGTTTGTCCCTAAACGCTCTAAGATTCATCCAGGCATAACAGCCTTGTGGGGCCTCTAGCCCAGAGGCTCCCGTATGTTCATCCAAGCTCCGCGCTTGGATGGTGAGATACCAGATGCCTGTTTTCTGTCCAGTGTTAAGAACTGAGCTGGCAGGCTTTGTCAGGATCACTCAGCCTGAAAATCAATCAGATGCCATCACTGGAGATGAGGAAGAGGCATTTTCTGCTCTCACATTTTGTCTGTGTCTCTGACACGAAAGCATCGGTTGCCTCTGAAGAGAAGCATTCTGGGAAGAGTTTCATCTTCACCACCATCCTGGTTAGGGAGCTCTTACAGCCTTAGAATTGCAAATGTCATGGAGGGGCCGCTCACTAGAGGTGGGGACCTTGCTGCAGGTTTCATCGTAAACACATGGCTGAAATGTGTCACACGTGGGCAGGCATGCTAGTGTGTCCAAAATCAGCCTCTAGCCAGAGGACACTGACTTCAGCAAGACCAAATGAAACAGAAAGCTGATTTTTTCCAATAGGTTTCATCAGACCCACAGAGGACTAACCCTAAACCTGATTTTGGATTACGCTTTTCTTGCTAGGAATTATATTAAATGATTCTGTCCGGAACTGAAGTTCTTGATAGACTGGTGTAGCTTCTCAGTCTTTTGAGAATCCGCTATCAAGGGCTCATACTTATCCCAGGTCAGCCCTTAACCCCCTCCCCCGCAGCGCACCTGTGACACAGGCAAGTGCGTGATGTCTGGCAAGGCTGGCAGGATTGTTAACTTCAGGCGAGAATGTGGGTGTTAACACGTCAGAGTAGATCTGAGAAAATATTCCAAACCAACCTGGCCACACTGGGAGCTCAGTCCCCAAGAAAGAATCAAGATAAGGGCGAGCATCTTACCTCTGAGAGGGCAGTGCTGGGTAAAGGCCACGCCTGCAAAGTGCAGAGCTCAGGGAAGACGGAGGCTCAGCTGGGCCCTGCTCAATCACTTGATGGACTTCCATAAACGCTACACTGGAGACTAGGGCGTGTGAAGTAGGAAAGAACACCATCTCTGCCCTGAGCTCTGAGATGGTGGCTGTAAGCCCCCAAGATGCCTGCAGAGCTGAAAGGTGGCCTACATGTTGCTTGGCTGAAGGATAATGGACTCAGGCCTAAACTTATTTGCCTCATTCACCCAGAGAGCTCTGACCAGGAGCTACTTTCAGATGACATAGATCCCCACAGGGCACTTGCCTCTTTCCTGTGACACTTCTAAGAGTGACTCTTGCCACATGACTGTAGTGACAAGTAGAGCTTTTCTCCAATGATACCATTGAGAATTCCAGACTTCCCCAAAAGGAAAAGGCTATGACTGGGAATACAGACTTCCCAGTGTATCCTACTTCTTACACTCCCAGACCTGTGGGCGTAAAAGGAAATCTTAGAATGATGAGTCCTGAAAATGAAAAGAAAAATACTTTTCAAGTTATGAAATCTAGTTGTTATCATTGCTAGTTTTAAATATGTGGTGCCGCTTAAGTTTCTAACACAGGAGGTGGCCAGATTCAGAGTTCCAAGTACCTAAGTGGTTGTTTTGGAACAGGTGTTTTAAGGACACTTAGTGGAGAATATTGGGGCAATAGGTTGGTAGTCACTTTCGCAGCAGTGCTCTGAGGTCTTGGGTTTCATAAAAGATAATTTCTCCTTTTAAGGAAAATTGAGTCTAAATGTAGTTTTTCCTTCCTCTAACTCCTTATTTCTTAATCCTATCCATTCTTCAACACCTAGCTCAAATGCTACCTCCTTTCATAAGCCTTCCATGATTAACTTTAGTTGGAATTTCCCTCTCCCTTGTCTAACTCCCATGGCACTTTATCTACACCTCTTTGATGGCCACTTTCCACTTTCTATAAAGTAAGTTACACACTTGTTTTGTGTTAATACGTTTCAAAAGATTGAAATCTTACAGAGTATGTTCTTTGACAACTATGGAATTAAATTAAAAACTAATAAAATAACTAAATAATTCTAAGTATTTGGATATTAAATAACATACTTCTCAGTAACCATGGATTAAAGAAGAAATTTTAAGAGAAATTAGAAAATATTCAAATTGAATGTTAATGAAAATTCAATATTACATTTCAAAATTTATAGGGTGCAGGTAAAGCAGTGCTTAGAGAGGAATTGATAGCACTAACCTGATCATATTAGAAAAGAAGAAAGGTTTAAAGTTAATTATCACTTTAGAAAGAAAAACAAATAAGGAAATTAAACCCAAAGAAAGTAGAAAAAAAAATATAAAGACAGAAAATCAATATATTAGAAAACAAACTGTAGGGATTTTTAACAAACTTGAAAATTGGTTCTTTGAAAAGTTTCATAAAATTTATAAACCCCTAGCAAGACTGATCAATTTTTTAAAAAGAGAGAAAATACAAATTACCAATATATGGGATGGAAGAAAGGCTATCATTACCAATCCTACAGGCATTATAATGGTAATAGGGAAATACTATGAACAACGTTATGCCAATAAAGTTGAAAACAGGTGAAATGAACAAATTCTTTGAAAAATACAACTTACCAAAATTGACACAGAAGAAAGAGAAAATCTAAATAATCTATGTTTTATAAAGAAATTGAATTTCACTATAAGAAGCTTGCCACAAAGAAAACCCTATGCCTAGATGATTTCACTTGCAAATTATTGATTAAGGAAAAAAATATAAATCTTGCATAAACTCTTTCAAAAAGGGAGAAAAAGGAAAAGTTTTCAAATTCATTTTATGACGTCAGCATAACCCTGATATCAAGACCTGACAAAGGCATCTAAGGAAATGAAATGACAGACCAGTATACCTGTGAACATAGACACAAAAATCCTTAACAAAATATAAGCAAATGGAATGCAGCAATACATAAAATTAATAATTCATTGTGACCAAGTGGAATTTATCCCAGGAATATATATAAAATGCATAAAACCCCTCTTTAGTAAATTTTCTTTGAACTTTTCAATGTATGGACATTTTTTATTATATTGGTTTCTAGCATCTGTTAAGAACCAACCTCAGGAGTACATAAAACCTCTTTTACTATTTTTGTAATTTCCTGTGTCTATAATTATTTCAAAATAAAGAGTAAAAAACAAACTAATCAAAAACAACAACCAAGTTTAAGAACATCATAACAAATCTTTATTGAAAAATTATACTTGAATTAAGTATTACATTTCTTGTGGAAATCAGCTCTTTTACAAAATTTAGAAACCATTTAAATATGGGTTTGAAATATCTGCATATTGAACAATACTTACACATGTATGAAGTAACATTATTTTCCCCAAACATGTTCTTTTTCTTTATTTCCCATATTTAATCCTAGTTTTAAATGCCATTTAATTTCAAAATTGTCCTATCTTTGTAAGATAAAATCTGAAAATTTAATAGTTTATTTCTTTTTGAAAAATAATTTTCAAGCCATAACTCAGGGAGGGGTAAAGCTCTGAACGCAGGTCCAGCTTGCTGACTTCTGTAAAAGAGGCCACAGCACAGCATCCCCCCATATTCCCTTCTGAACTGGCCCCCTGCAGTGGCGAGAGTAGTTTGTTGGGTCATCACTGTGATCTGGTGTCAGTGGAATTGGGGGAGAGAGTGGGAAGATGGGAATGGGCCCTGTATTTGTGGCTAAGGTTAGTTGGACTTCATACTCCAGGCAAAAGAGAGTCGCTAAGGCTTTTAACAGTGAGAAACACCATTAATCTCTGTTTAGGAAGGTACCACATTTCATCTAATCTAAGGTACCTGATTGTGTAACCTACCATTATTATGAGTACCTACCATTATTATGAGTACCTCTAAAAAAGAGGAAAGTGCAGCTCAGAGAGATTAAGTCACTTGTCCAAGGTCACACAGGTAGAAGCTGGACTTTGAATTCAGGTAGTCCATCTCCTGAGCCAGCACTCTTTACTGCCACACTATTATTCACACTCACAAAAGGCAAAGGAGGCTGCCAACACTGTAGGGATGTCAAGTAAGATTAGGTCATCCATGCCCAGCACAGGAACAAGTTGTAAAGGGAACAGTGTGGTGGGCAGAAACCAGGTTGCAGCGGGTGGCGGAGGGACTGGGTTTGAGGAAGTAGAAACACCACGGTGGACATCCTTCATGAGGTGCAGCAATTAAAAGGAGTTGGT